TAGAACTGGAACCACAGTGAGGCTGAGTCAATTTGCCCGGCCCTCTCGGGTGCATGTGAATAGGGTCAGAGCTAGACACCATCAGGCCTGTGGCCACTAAGAAGGCAACGCGGGGGGACAGCACTCCAAGTAGAGCTCCTCCAAGACAGGAGCTGGGGTTGGGCTTCCCTTTCTCCCACCTGACCACTTAGATGGACCAGACTTGGTCCTTAGATGAGAAGAGAGGTGGGGAAATGCCTAGACAGTTCCTCCCTCTTATTTCTGAAAGGGAGGAGGTCTGTCTTTAAGGGCTGAGAGAGGGAGATTGTGATGGAGAGGGTTGCTCCTGCTGATCATTCATTGAAGAGTGAGTCATGACGCAGGAGGCAAATTTATACTTCAATCTGTTGTTCAGCAAGCAGATTTTCATCATGTTGTTCATCCCAGAGCGGGCATCGATCCTATACATTCATACTGGGTTGACGTACATTTTTGAGAACACCTTTTGTAGCCTTGGTGGCTGCTATATTTCCAAAAGCATGCCCCCTCCCTCCCCCAAGGCTGCGTTGGAAACACACCAGTGATCTGGATGGCTGATAAACACCCACATCTCACAGAGGGGTGGGTGGGGGGCCGGGTGTTGCACACCCAGAACCGGCACACGCCCACATCTGCATTTGCTCATCTGTTAAATGAGGAGGTCGATTAAGTCATCTCCCCAAGGACGTTATGGGACCAGCCTTCTGTGATTCTGAAACACTGCCTCCCCCATAACTGCTGAGGACCACCTTTTCCATAAATAAACCATCAGAGCTATTTATAAAGGTGCTGAATTTCCAATGGTGGAGAGCACCTTTTAGTCATGCTGGGAGCCCAGGATTTTACTTCTAAGTCAGTGGGCAAGATTGGGACCAACGAAGACCTCCAACAATGACATACTCCCACTTTTGTAAAACCCACTTCTCTGGGAGGATGAATAATACAACCTCTTGAAAACATTCATCAAAAAAGAAAAAAAAAACTGCATGTACCCTTTGATTCAGCAATTTTACTTCAGGAAATTTACTTCACAGCAATGAATTGATGCAATTGGTAAGGATATCTATACAAAGATACTTTTTCTGCAGCATTCTGTACAACTTAAATGTCTATTAATAAAATGTGGATTAATTAAATATGGTTCATAGAAGGGAATAACCATGCAGTTATTAAAAAGGTAATAAGGAAAATATTTAAGGGCTAACATGGAAAATTTTCCAAGATAGAGTATTGATTGAAAATGGCAAGATGCCCACACTTCATTTGTATGATGACATTTCTCGGTGTGTTTTATGTGTGTGTGTTCTTATAAATACTTAGAAAATAAAACAGACCCCAAATCTCTTCACAGATTCTATCTTGGAAAGTCTCAATTGTCTGCATGGGAGTGAGGGGGACTGAAAAACATAAAAGTAAAAACTTCTGTTTTTTCACTTTTATTCATTTCAATACTCTATTGTCCTTAAAAAATAGGCAATGGAATTAGAATCTGTGGGGAAAAAAACCAAAACAACAGAATCACTATGCTATACACCTGAAACTAACACAGTACTATAAATCAGCTATAATTCAGTAATCAAATCAAAACATAACAATAGGAACTTCTTATTTTTGTGGCACACAGGAAGAAAACCCCTTCAACCTTCAGAACCTTCCTGAGGAAAAGAATCAGCCTCGGCCTCTTTACATTCACAGTTTAGAAGTAAAATAGTGCACTACCGAGTCAGTGGAAAGGCAATGCACAAAATCTAAAGTGTTGAGGTTGTATCACCTTGGAGGGCACACCTTTTAAATTTAACTATTTTTGACTGCTCTGGGACTTTGTGATTGCACGCCTGCTACTCTCTAGATGCAGTGCGTGGGTTTCTTATTGCTGTGGCTTCTCTTGTGGCCCAGCCTTCAGTAATGGAGGCTTATGGGCTTCAATAGCTGGGGCACACGGACTTAGTTGCTCTGCACTATGTGGGATCTTCTGGACCAGGGATTGAACCTGTGCCCCCTGTGTTGGTAGACAGACTCTTAACCACTGGACCACCAGGGAAGTCCCAGGGAAATCTTTGGCATTACTGATAGATGCAGTCTGTCCCAGAGCGCATGGGATTTGGGCGAACTCAAGGGCAAAGTCAGTACCCAGTCAGTCTGAGACCACATACACACAAAGAGACTGCTCACAGGATGAGAAAAGGTCACAAAGAATCTGCACACAATTTTATTTTATTTTTTTTCCCATTTATTTTTATTAGTTGGAGACTAATTTTACAATATTGTAGTGGTTTTTGCTATACATTGACATGAATCAGCCATGGATTTACATGTATTCCCCATCCTGATCCCCCCTCCCGCCTCCCTGCACACAATTTTAAAATACAGGCTGGAAGGATTATTTCTGAGCATCACTGCCCTGCAGCAAACTGCATTCCCCTGTGGTGCCCAGTAAGTTTCACTTGACCACCCTGGTCTTTACCCCATTTATGGGTATATATGTGCCCACCATAGTCTTTACCCCTTTTATGGTGTATACATGCCCAGTCATTAAGAATGGTTCACAGAGACATTGAGGGCCCCTCTTTCTGTGAATGATTAAAAGCTATCTGTCAAAGAAACCTTCTCTGTGCTGTTGAACTTAACATTTATGACCTGATGTCATGAACCTCAAGAAAAATGAGATCACGTTAGTACGCAGGCCCAAAGGTTGCTGGATCCTTCCATCTTCTTGACTGCAGGACTCCCAGCCCCTTTCGAGGTCAGTTGCCTCCCTCCTGAGGAATGTCTGAGAGCTCACTGAAGGAGATCCTCTTTAATCTAGAGGACGCCCTTGGCAGTTCTGGCTTCATCGCTTGGGGCTGGTTCCTTGGCGACACGCCTTGGGACGCTCTTGGGCCGCCTGGTTCTCTGTACGCTCCTCCAGCTGCTAAGGTCCAGATTGCTGATGTTTACTCTTCTCCCGAAGAACATCCACAGGGACAGGGCTCTCCTGCCTCTCTCTGTCTTCCACAGGAGCTGTTGGGGTGGGGGAGCTGAACAGGAAAAAAGATTCCACGAGAAGTCTCTGTGTTGTTCCGGGGACCACTTCCTTCCATCTCTTGAGTCTCTTTCAATTTCGGCACACCAGTGGCCACCTGCCCAAGTCCAGAGTCTTCACAAGGGGAAGTTTGGTTTCTGTTCATTTTTGGCTAACTTGCAGGATGTGTCTGTAGTCCTCTGACCCCTGTATGTGGACACACTTTCCATCTTGTTCCTAGGGTGTTTCTCTCTCTATTTAAAAAAGTTATTTATTTATATTTGTTTTGTTTTTTTTTTAATTAAAAATTTAAATTGGAGGATAGTTGTTTTACAATGTTGTGTTAGTTTCTGTTGTATGACAAGGTTAATCAGCTGTAAGTGAACATATATTCCCTCCCTCTTGAGCCGTCCCCCCATCTCACCTCCCTTCATCCCACTACTCTAAGGCATCACAGAGCCCTGAGCTGGGGTGTTTCTCTCCGGATGAAGCTAGCTAAAAGGGTACCAGAGGGTGCCCTGGCAGGGAATGTCACCCATCTCCAGGGGCCATATGTATCTGAATCTCTGCTCTGGTAAACTGAGATCCACCAGTACACTAGTGAAACACTGGAAAGACCCTGCAATGGAAACACAAAGATCACTGAGTTTAGATAAGTAAGAAAAAAAAAAAGCAATAATGAAAGAGAAGAAATAGAGCTGAAGACTAAGAGGAAACAGCAGGTAACTGCCAAGAGAATGATGAAAGAATTTCAAGGCAAGTAGGTCAAGGGGTTGCATTGTTCCAGTCTTCAACAAGAGGCCAATGCAGTACCTCTGAGAAATTTCACAGAGAGATTTTTGAAGAGTAAAACTTTGATATTTGGGAAAGTATTAGACCTCTGAAGATTCCCACACAGATAGATACTATTCTCACATGCTTTCATGTTAGAAGCTGAGATCTGAAGGAAAATAATAAGACCCCAGTGAAGTATGTAATTTGGATACTCAAGAATATTCATTGTAAGGACTGATACTAAAGCTGAAACTCCAATACTTTGGCCACCTGATTCGAAGAGCTGACTCATTTGAAAAGACCCTGATGCTGGGAAAGATTGAGGGCAGGAGGAGAAGGGGACGACAGAGGATGAGAGGGTTGGATGGCATCACCGACTCAATGGACATGAGTTTGAGTAAACTCCGGGAGTTGGTGATGGACAGGGAGATCTGGTGTGCTACAGTCCATGGGGTTGCAAAGAATTGGATATGACTGAGCGACTGAACTGAAATGAAGTGAACTTGGCTGAGAGACCTACCTCTTTACAGCTGACTCAGAGTGTGGATTCAAACTGGTACCTCCCCAGTTATAAATGAGTATGCTATGGCCTGTGCAATCACATGTCAGCAGCTGAAACGAAGCACATCAAGTGTCAGAGTGCTAAGGGCCTACTGTATTGTAAGAATTGGGCCACGGCTAAGAGCTGACTCAGCTCGTTGTTTTCCATCAAGGTTCACTGACGTATGATTTACCTACAAAGTCTCCTCAGTTCACACCCTGCTGCACTGCTTGTCAGCCTGGGAACCTTCAGAGGAGCTTGTTTCCTTAAACCTGGTCTCAGCCTTCTCCTGGGCTTTAGCCAGGCCTTGATGACCAGGGGCTTGTTCTGTGTTCTTCTAGGTATGTAGAACCTCTTCCTTGTTCCTTCTTCCTGATTTTTTTAAAAAATAGAGGACAGGAGAAGGGAGATTAGGGAAGGAAGTCTGGCAAATGAGATTCAAGGTAGTAAGTTGTAGCACTCAGTGGAAAAACCTGACTATAAGCCTAGAAACTTAAGATGATAATTTTTAGATTAGAAATATAATTTTAAAGATGCTTCCATTTTATGCAAGGTCAGCCCTAAGCCTCCATGTATATGAGACAGAAATGAAGAAGCAGGTGAGGGAGGGAATGCAGGAAAGGGCCTAGGGACCTCTAGAAGGTATAAGGCAGTTTCCTGGCTTACCTGGTGTCAGGAACTCTGAGTTTCCCTGTTAGTTCTGCCTCTGACCAGCTACATGATCTGGGAAACATCATTTCTTTCCACACCTCAGTATCCTCAATGTAAAGAGGGAGTTAGACCAGATGTTCTAGAAGATTCCTTTCAGTTCTAACAGATAGGAATTTGCAGTTTGATTACCCCCTCCACCCAAAAGTTAACTAAAGAATAATGGATTTAAGACAAACTTAGTGGTTCTTGGAGGTGAATAAATAGCATCAAATTTAGTAATGGATCATTAAAATTAATCCAAATTAAATCAGCTATTTGTCTTCTGTTACAAGACAGTGTACACTGAAGTTTCGGTTTTAACATGAATATAATGTAAAAAATCTTTCAATCCACTTTTCAAAGTGCTTTTGCTTGTATAACTTTTAAAGCTACTCTCATTACAAAGAGTTAGTTAAAAACCTGTGGCCAAGAGACTGAACTCAATCGTGAACTTTGGCCACATTCTTCCTTGGCTTGGCCACAGGAAGGTCCAAGAGGTGTTATTTTTGGTCTCACACATTTTTTTTCCTGGCAGCAGATAGCCACTTGGAGGGTCCCTGGTCAATTGGTCCTGTTGTTCTTCTCTGTGCAATGAGAGATAGACCCTAGTGACTTCCTTCTCCAAGTTACAGACCTGCCCCATCGCTTCTCATTTCAAGATGAAAGCATTAACCCCAAGCAGCACCTGGGAGCCATCACAATGTGGTGAACTTTGGCCCCTTTATTTCATGGAAGATGTATTTTAGGAAACTTTGTTTTTATTCTATGGAATTACTAACATCGATTTCATCATACACTGAATTCCCTTCTCTTTCACCGGCTTTTTGGCCAGCCGCCTTCTGTATGCTTGATTACAAGAGGTTTCTAATGGGCTACACAAGCCGTCCCTGTGTAGGGTAGTTCGCCCAGGATGGGGCCTCTGCGGCTGACCCCAGGCCCTGCGTCTAGCACGAAGGGCAGAGCGAGCCAGCTCCTCCGGTGCTCCGGTGCCGAGGGATCGTCTCAGACTCAGACACTGGCTTTCATCTGACATGCGTGTGAAGTCACTTCAGTCGTGTCCAACTCTTTGTGACCCTATGGACCATAGCCCGCCAGGCTCCTCTGTCCACGGGATTCTCCAGGCAAGGATACTGGAGTGGGTTGCCATCTCCTTTTCCAAGGGCTCTTTCCGACCCAGGAATTGAACCCACGTCTTTTATGTCTCCTGCATTGGCAGGTGGGTTCTTTACCACTAGCACCACCTGGAAACCCCTTGTTTATTCCACTGAGTCCTGGTACAGGAAGAAATTTGAGAGTAACCAATAGCTATTTGCTTTTGCTCTTTTTATAAAAGAATTGAGTGGACTAAATGCATTAATTTAGAAAAATTGCATAGAACAAAACTTGGTAAAATAAATACTCACAATATCATCATTGTTGCTACTATCATAGACTCTACAGCACTTTGCTAGTTGCAAAGTGACTGACTCTAAAGACAGGACCTAGAAAACTTCTAGTCTAAACCACCGCTTTGCAAATGGGCAAACTGGAATTTGGAGAGGAGACGCCACTTGCCTGAGCTCACGGAATTTACTAGTAATGTAAATGGGATTAGAATTCAGGTAAAAGATATTAATTTAGAAATTGTGTATCTTTGAAACCAGCCAGCGCATCTCAGAAGTTTTTGAGACAATACAGTGGCAGGAAAATCTTGGATTCCCCAGAGAAGATTTGGAGAGGTTCTTTACTTCACATAGTTTCTTATTCCATTAGTCCTAAGATCCCCTCCATGGGACCCCAAGGAGCCCCCTCTTCTTCTGGTTGTGGTTCCTTCAGAGTGGCTACACTAGAGCCGTGTCTTGGCCGAACGCATGGCTGGGAATGCTTGTTATTTCTGGGAGAGATGGAAATGTGCCATGTTTACTAGAAGCTGGACTTTTCCCACAGTAGAAGAGAGATTGGAAAAGTTCTTTTCAAGTTTTTCATGAATGCTTCCTTTTTAAATGACATCGTTTCATAGAAGGCATTTGCATTGAGTTTACTAGGGCTGTGTTACAAAGTGCCACAAACTAAGTAGCTTAAGCAACAAAAATGTATTGCCTCATAGTTATGGATAGCATCGCCAATTCAATGAACTTGAATTTGAGCAAATTCTAGGAGATAGTGGAGGACAGAGGAGCCTGGCGTGCTACAGTCCATGGGGTTGCAAAGAGTTCGACATGAGCACAAAAACAACAACTGAGTTATGGAAGCTAAAAGCCTAAGATCAAAATGTCAGCGAGGCTGGTTCCTTCTAAGGGCTGGGAGAGAAAGTTTGTTCCATTCCTCTCCTCTATTTCCTGGTGGTTTGCTGGCAATCTTTGGTGCTTCTTGGCTTACTCCCCCTGTGTGCCTGTCTGTCTCCAAAGTTCCCCATTTTATAGGGATGCTAGTCATTTTGAATTACGACCAACTCTAATGGCTCATTTTAACTTGATTTCTTCTTTAAAGACCCTAGCTCCAAAGAAGGTCATGTTCTGAAGTATTGGGGATAGGACTTCAACATATGAATTTTGGGGCACAATTCATTGTCCCTTGAATTATGGGGCATTCAAACCAATAACAACACTGAATAATTTAGACCAGTAAGGATGGCATCTGTTTCATTTACCATGGAATGTCCCAGTGTCTAGCACAAGGCATGGCATATATTGGGCGCCCACAAATTTGTTGATGTAATGAACACACTTAGTAATCCTCATTTAATTATACTGGGGGTTTTCAGATTGGCTGTTCATAAGGTGTTAATTTTCCATCAAAGATGCTGATTATCCTTTTGGAAGACTGTCTTGTCAGTAATCCCCAGTCCTGAGTGTAGCCAACTTAATGTCAGAGTCTTCTCACATGAGCACATTCAATTGCACTAATACCAAGTATAAAACTGACTGACATTGACTTTTGTCTGTTCATGTCTGGAGCCTGGTGGAGGGTATGTGAAGCCATGAATTGATCTGAAAGCACCAGCAGTGGGAAGAGGAAAAGAGAAGAAGAACATTGGCAGCCCTCTGTTCTTGTCTTGGAAATCCCATTTTGATTTCTGATGGTACCAGGAGACGTTGACACATGAGCATCTGTGTGGCTCTGGCCATGGGAATGCTGCCCAGGCACATGAGGAAGTTCTCAGAACTGTCTTTGTGATGAGAAAAGAGACAGTTCTTAGATATCTGTGTCCCATCTGTAGGCATTGTGACTCCTTACAAATTAAACCTGAAAACTCAGAGGCCCAAGTATTAAATCCTGGGTCAGCCTTTCCGATTTCCCATTAGAATTGTTCATACACATAAACAACAGATGGACGAGATTAATGAGACATCATATTCAAGTAGAATAAATTGGTCTGTAATGTCGAGGTAGTGCTCTCATTTGGCAGAGGGTAGTATCCGCTTACGTGGAAGGTTGCAGTTGTGCTTCCAGGCTTTCTGGGCGCTTTTGGCACAATCTACTAGCATCAGTAGAAGAGTACCCAAGTCAGAGAGCAGACTACGCTTTTAAACCCCTGAATGCTTTCCATCAAATAGTGAGGCATCCAAATCATGCCTCTTGAGTTGTTTCAAAAATGGATGATGACAATAATAGCAAAAGAGCACATGACCCAGGATCCAGTCACTTGTTTATTTTTATGTGTTTTGTCCTGTTGTCTTTCCATGGGTGAGTTAGCCTGTGAGTACGTGCTTGCACTGCCATCTGGGCGAGACCAGATTTGGGGCCCTTTGGTTCTTCTGTTTGATTGGAAATTAGCTTCTTCTGTGGACTCTAATTTGCAATGTTTAGTGGAATAGAAATGATTGGGAGCGTGTGGTTGACTGTTCATGTTAGAGAGAAAATCATACTTAGTGTCATAAACAAGCTCTCTGCCCATGTTGTCGGTTAGTTCCAGTCCATGTAAACAGATCACTGTATCTAAGCCCTTAGACACAGAACTGAAGGGCTCAGACCACGAACAAGACTCCAATGCTCTGAAAGATCACGTGTAACCCCGCATCAGCTACTGGGCTTCCAGGTCCCCAGAGGTCAGTTCAAGGTCAGCCGCACCAGGGGATCCCATTCAGGACTCAGCAGGCAGCAAGGGGACGTGTATCTTTCTGGCATGTCCTAGAAGACTCGGCTCTGTGCATCTTCTGGGCAGAGAGTGGGCAGTGGTTCTTGTCATGATGTAGCTGTATCACCAGAACCTCTCTGCAGTGAAGGGGAGGCTGGGAACCTTGTCTGGTCTGACACCCTTTGTGGGGCACACAGCGCTCACTGGCGGGGTGCCATTTTCCACCATGACACTCCATGAGCTGCTGGCCTCGCCCCTGCTTGTAAAACTTCTGGAAGTCTTTGACTCCAGCCTAAACCTCCCAGGTACCTCCCTCTTTCTTTTCTGGCCAGTTTGTGTGGGCTGACAGGTCCCGGTCCCCTCTTACTAGTCAGCCGCCTGTGTATCTGTGGTCTAAGTACAAATGCAGTGTTTAAGATGAAATCTGCCTCATACAGATTAGAGGGGGCAGGTCTTATTTCTGCTATTTCAGTGTCTTATTTCTGTTAATACTCTCTAAGCTCACAGTAGGTTTACACAGTTTCACTACAAAACATACAGAAAAATACAAAGAACAATATGACAAACACTTAGGTACCCAGTCCCCGATCCTCTGGAAAGCTTTTTTATTTTTTGCTGTAAAATCTTACAGCTACACTTGATATGTCCTGGGAACCACCCCCCCACCATTTCGTATACACCCGTTCTCCCTTGATTCATTCTTTTCTCACACCCTCCCTTCTCAGAGATAACCATAATCCCAAATTTAGAATTTTTCATTTTCTTGCATATTTCATTGACACTAATAAATGTATGTATTCTCAAAAATATATAGCACCGTTTTGAACATTTTTAAACTTTACATGCATGGTGTCATTCAGTATGATCTTTTTATAACTTGCTTTTATATATAACATTTTGGGAGGGGGGAAATTTCCCCATGTTGTTTGATTTTTTTTTTTTAATTTGCTATTTCACTGAATAGTATGCTGTTTTATGAATATAACATTATTTATGTACTCTCCATTTGATTGCTATTTATGCTGTT